CTCATAGCTAAGTGGGTAGAACAGGTATTTGATTTACTCTGCAGACTACAAAATGAAGAGTGAAGAGGCAAAGGCCACCAGATAACGTGGAAGGCTTCCTTCTTCAGACTCCTCTTCCCTCCTGGGCAGGCATTTCTTCCCTTTCTTTTACACACTGTTGTTACACCCAGACAGAAATGTCCCAGCAGCATTGCCGTGCTGCTGCAGCCCGGACTTCAGTAGTGCTGGCAGAGCTGGTCATGGTAGGTGGGCAGGACATCAGACTCCAGGTGGGTCAGAAACCACCTTCTTGCGCTAAACCCATAGAATTAGTGAAGCAGAGCGAAGGGAGCCAAAACACAGCAGGGAACCGACTGCCATCAACTTACTGCAAAGGGGTACTGGGTCCAGTTTTGGGCTCCCCAGTTCAAGAAGGACAGGGAACTGCTGGAGAGGGGGCAGCAGAGGCTACAGAGATGATGAGGGGCCTGGAGCACCCCTCTTACAAGAGAAGCTGAGGGACTTGGGGCTTTTGAGTCTGGAGAAGACTGAGGGGGGAGCTGATCAACACCTATGAAAAATTAAGGGGTGGGTATCAGGAGGATGGGGCCAGGCTTTTTTCAGTGGTGCCCAGGGACAGGACAAGAGGAAATGGGCACAAACTTGAACATAACAAGTTCCACCTAAACATGAGGAGGAACTTCCTCACTGAGAGGGTGGCAGAGACCTGGAAGAGGCTGCCCAGGGAGGTGGTGGAGTCTCCTTCTCTGGAGACATTCAAACCCACCTGGACACGTTCCTGTGGGACCTGCTCTGGGTGGACCTGCTCTGGCAGGGGGTTGGAGCAGATGATCTCCAGAGGTCCCTGCCAACCCCGTATCATTCTGTGATTCTGTGGGGGTGAATAAAATAACAGGTACTGGGGAAGAAAGAAAAGGGGGAAAAAACCCAGAGAAATCCTTCAAAAAGGTTTATTGATCATTGCAGACACAGTACCAGCACACAATGCTTTAGAGTTTGAAGTCGCAACCAAGTAGGTTTATTTAATGACATTTTTAAAAGGATCTGGAGAAGAGCACAGGGAGGTACGAGGAGGTGAAGGGAGTTTAACCGTGCTTTCATCGGGATTTTTCTGTTCCCGATCAGCTGTCGTATCAAATTAGCGAAGGTAGTGCCGGTGGAATTTCCACATGCTGGGCACGGTGCAAATGCAATAGCTCTTGTAAAACCTCCTGAAAAAAGAATGGTTTGTATCCTGTGCTGCGTAAGGCTGCTGAGCAAGAACTATGAACCACGTAAGATGGGCTTGGAGTGACTAACCGCTATCGTCTGGGAGTCAAGGAAAAATCCCCTCCTGTGAATTAACACAAAATGATTATTTTGACATAGATCTTTGTGCTGTGAGACGCAAATAGCGATGCTCACCCGGGTGTTTCTAACTCCTTGGCATTTGCTTCCTGAGTTGCAGCCTCTGAAAAAAAATCCGCACTTTTGAAAGTTACGCAAAGATGTTTTTTCCAGCCGCGTGCTCCGATTCCAACGCCTCTGCAGCTGCAGAGCCCCCCTGCCAGCTCCTCGCTCACCCTCTGCCTCTTCTTGCTCCCTCACAGCCCACCACTGCTCACTCGGGCACCCAGAAACAACATTAGGGAGCTGGAAAATTAATTAATGGACTGGGATTAGGGTGCCGAGGGCGATGGTTTGGTCTCTCAAACAGCTTTTGAGTGGCAGTGTGGGTGTGAGCTCCCAGCACCGTCACGCTGCAGCCCTTCTTCCCGGCTGGAGCTGCCCAGAGCGGTGCCACGATCCCTGGGAGGGGATCGGAGAACCCAGCCTGATAAGAATAATAACCTTCTTCCCTGAGCAGTGGCTCACAGGCCCGCTGGAAGAGCAGAGGGAAACGAGCACAGAGAGGACAGTCACTGCTCGAACCGGAGTCATGGAATGATAGGATGGTCTGGGTTGGAAGGGACCTTTCGGATCATCATCTCCAATCATTAACCTCACGCTGCCCAAACCACCACCCTCAGCACCACGTCTGCCCGGCTGTTAGATACCTCCAGGGATGGTGACTCCACCACCGCCCTGGGCAGCCTCTTCCAATGATCTTCCAATGATCACCCTTTCTGTGAAGAAATTTTTCCTAATATCCATCCTAAACCTTCCCTGGTGGAACTTGAAGCCATTTCCTCTTGTCCCATCACCTGTGACTTGGGAGAAGAGACCGACCCCCCCTGGCTACACCCTCCTTTCAGGGAGTTGGAGAGAGCGAGAAGGTCTCCCCTCAGCCTCCTCTTCTCCAGGCTGACCACCCCCAGCTCCCTCAGCCTCTCCTCATGAGACTTCCTCTCCCGACCCCTCACCAGCTCCGTTGTCCTCCTCTGGACCTCCTCCAGCATCTCAATGTCTTTCATGAGGGGCCCAAAACTGGACACAACACTCAAGGTGGGGCCTCACCAGTGCCCAGCCCAGGGAGATGATCACCTCCTGAGTCCCGCTCACCACACTGTTCCTGACACAGGCCAGGATGCTGGTGGCCTTCTTGGCCACCTGGGCACACTGCTGGCTCCTGTTCAGCCGACAGGCAACCAACACCCCCAGGTCCTTTTCTGCCAGGCAGCTCCAGCCACTCTGCCCCAAGGCTGTAGTGTCCATGGGGTTGGTGTGACCCAAGTGCAGGACCCTTATTGAACCTCATCCCATTGGCCTCAGCCCATCCATCCAGCCTGTCCAGATCCCACTGCAAAGCCTTTCTGCCCTCAAGCAGGTTGACACTCCCACCCAACTTGGTGTTGTCTGTGAACTGACTGAGGGTGCACTCGATCCCCTCGACTTTCCCTCAAAAGTCTCTGCCGCACATCTCGGGTGAGTGTTATGGTTTCTAAAGACAACCCAGAACTTCAACGTCACATTCCTGAAGATTAGCCAGCTTCGCCAGCTCGTGACAGATGTCTCTCTCTGCCCCTCCTGTTACAAGCAGCAGCACAGAGGGAAAACAGATTTTTCTGAGCTTGAGCCCTCGGTGATTCGATAAACATGGTGATGGTTTCCGTGCCTGCATCCTCCCACCCCTGCCTAGGACTTTGTATGGCGCGATGTGTCGCTAACTGTGCTATGAACACCAGCAAAGCGTTGAGATGAAACTGTTGAAAAGGGGCATTAAAAAAAGCTGTGGTGTCTTTAAATCAGCAGAAGCCGCGAAAATACTCTTCACCTTCCTCTTTGGCTGATAAATTCATCGTTGTGTTCTGGGGCTGGGAGGGTGAAGGAAGGCAGCCATGCCGCCTCCGGCTTGTCTCTTCTCATGAGCATCAAAGCTAATAGAAACGGAGCAGGAGTCCTCCCCTGGGCCTTTCAGGAGCCTGGCAATGTGGGGTGCCAAGCTGCTTGCCACACAAGTGGCTCACCGTGGTTTAAAGCCATCAGTCAAATCGCCATCTTCGCTTTGCAGTTTGCCACCAGCCTGCTGCCTGGCATTTGCTTAAAAAATCTACAGCACAAATGCAGGGAGGGATGTGCAGAGCATCACCCCAACTCTCCCTGTACAGAAAACGCACGTAAGTGAGGAAAAATAATTGCTGCTGGCGTGTCAGAGGGTTACGGGAGCGTGGTGGAGTGGGATGGCACCCTTCAGCGGCAGAGTGGGGGGTAACCTGTGCGTGGGGGTGTGCTGACGGGGTGTGATGTCTCCTTCTGCCCCCAGATTTTGACCCTCACACAGAGGGTGAACCCCCAACAGCACTGAATCAGTCGGTATTTTCCTTAAACCGGAGGGGTGTACTGGAAGTCATGGTGGTCCACACCATTGGGGTGTCCGTGTTTAACACCTGCACAGACAGGACCGCGGTGACGCTTCGGGGAGAACGCAGCTTTCCTCCTGCTGCTTGTCTTGCCAGGGTGAAACAAAGCAAACACGACAACAGCCAGTGACAGGCTGAGTGCCTGCCATGGAGAAAAAGATGTTTGTGTTGCTCCTCGCAGACGCAGTGGTACGTGTTTTATGAAAAAGCAATTTCAAGCCCTGAGCAGAAATGACTGTTGAGTGAAGCCATGCTGCCCTCACGTGGGTATTTTAGAAATATCCCAGGCTTCAAATCCAACCTGCACTAAACTAACCACCCCCAACTCTTGGGGCATCTCCTCCAAGAAAGACCTTGCAATCACAGTGATTTTTTTAAAAATGTTTCACGGCCTATGTGGCCTGATCTCTAGAGGTCCCTTCCAACTCTGATAATTCCGTGATTCCATGATGGTTGGGTGGAGAATGGCTGAAGAGCAGCCTTGAGGAGAAGGACTTGGGGGTGTTGGTGGATGAGAAGCTCCACACGCCCCAGCAATGTGCTCTGGCAGCCCAGAAAGCCCCCCACACCCTGGGCTGCACCCCCAGCGCCGTGGCCAGCAGGGCCAGGGGGGGATTCTGCCCCTCGGCTCCGCTCTGGGGAGACACCCCCCACCCAGTGCTGCCTCCAGCTCTGGGGCCACCACCAGCAGAAGGACATGGAGCTGTTGGAGCGGGGCCAGAGGAGGCCCCGGAGATGCTGGGAGGGCTGGAGCCCCTCTGCTGGGAGGGGGGGCTGAGAGAGTTGGGGGGTTCAGCCTGGAGAAGAGAAGGCTCCGGGGAGACCTTGGAGCCCCTTCCAATCCCTCAAGGGGCTCCAGGAGAGATGGGGAGGGACTCTGGATCAGGGAGGGGAGCCATAGGATAAGGGGGAAGGGTTTGACACTGAAAGAGGGGAGATGGAGCTGAGATGTGGGGAAGAACTTGTTTGGTGTGAGGGTGGTGAGAGCCTGGCCCAGGTTGCCCAGAGAAGCTGTGGCTGCCCCATCCCTGGAGGGGTTCAAGGGCAGGTTGGAGGGGGCTTGGAGCAACCTGGGCTGGTGGGAGGTGTCCCTGCCCAGAGCAGGGGGTTGGAATGAGATGGTCTTTAAGGTCTCTTCCAACCCAAACCATTCTGTGATTCTATTGAGAAGAGGATCCTAACCTTGGCCACAACCAGCCCCGGCCGGGCAGGCAGGCCCACCTCCGGCGGGGCTCATAGGGGCCACTCCTCAGGCTGTGATCCCCGGGGACCGAGCAGCTCCCGGGGACAGGGAGACGGACCCCCCCGGGACCCGCCGCCATGGCCGCCCCTCACTCCCCTCAGGGCCGGCGGCGGGAGGCGGGACCTGGCGCCCTCTCCGGTTGGCGGAGCCGCCGCGGGAAGGGCCCGGCGGACGCGGGGGAGAAAGCGGCGGGGTCGGGGAGGGAAGGTGGCGGCCGGCCTGAGGCGGGCAGGCGGCGGGGCCGCTCTAGCCGCCCGCCCGCCGGCGCGCTCCGTGGTGAGTCTGCCCGGCGCCATCTTGGGCTGGCGAGCGGGCGCGCCGGAGAGGGACAAAATGGCCGAGGGCGGCGGGGCCGCCTGTCCCGGGCCCTGCCGCCGCCACCCCCCATCTTCGGCCTGCCCTGGCCCTGCCCCGAGGGGTTGCGGGGGCGGCCGGCTCGGCTCCCCCATTCCTCCCGCTGCTGCAGCTCCGTGCCTCGGCCTCCACCCCCCCCCCGCCCGCCTCGGGTAGCGCCTGGGCCGGGGAGGGGAATCCCCAGTCCCTGGGCCTTTGTTCTGCTCTCTCCAGAGCTGGACCGCCACCCACTTTTTGGTGAATTACAGCCTAAACTGAGGTGGGATTTGCTGCTCCTGGCGCTTGCTTGGGAAATAGGAGTTCTGCTTCTCGCTGTGGTTGCAGCCTCGCATCCCGGTGGCCGGGCCCCCTCGTTTAACGGGGGGTAGGAGCCGTCGGGGCAGGGGAAGGGCTCAGCCTCCCTGCCCTGGCTTTGTGCAGCCTGCAGTAGGTCTTCTCCTAAAGGTCTTGCCGCCTGGGTGGAATTTTACTAATACCGCAGTAGACGACTTCCTAAGCTTCACCTTTCTCACGTATATCTGCAATACCGATTGCCTGTAGTTGTTTTTCTGGAGAGTCGGTTCTTGTTTTCCTTTGAGGTTTTCCAATTTTTACAGACAAGCATACTGCAGGGGTCACTACTGTGTTTTGGGGTTGTTTGTTTGTTTTTTTCCCTCATCAGCCTGTAATTTTTTAACTCCTTGCAGCATGAGAAGGAGTTGTGGAGGTGATAAGCAGTTTAAATTTTTCACCTTCACCGGAGGTGGCATAAACAAAATATAATTAAAGAGAATGTAACAATTTTGAGCACAAAATTGCAGTGTTTTTCCTTGAATATGGCCTTTTTTTGTTTTTTTCAGATTCACTATAATAAGCTTGAACATTGTGTTTCTATTTCAAGGTAGATTAGGTTAGAAAAATTTGGTCTCCAGGAAGCTAAAAACGCTACATGGAAATGAATGCTGAAAGATAGGGATTAAAGAATAGAATCGTACCGCCCCCAGTGTTATCTCTTCATTGATATCTTCATGTCATTCTTACAACTGTTAACGTTTTTAGGGAGGGAGTGTTACTTGTGACTTGCTCAAGGTGGATTTCTGTGTGTTAGTTCTTCTATAAAAACTCGATTTAATTGCTATTGAGCAAATCAGACAGAAAACCAGTTAAGGTGGTAGGTTAACTTGAGTAAAGTTTGGATAACCTGCGTTGTATGTCCAGCCAGAATGAGTTGAAATATTAAAACCTTTATAGCAGAGTCTTTTTGAAACATAATTGTGCAAGGATAGGATAGGACAACAATCGCTATCCCTCCTGCTTTCCTATTTTATCTTTTCCATACTTTTATTAAAAAAATATATATAAATATATATATGTATATCTACACAGGCAGTCTTCACCAAGGCTTAAAATGAGTTTTGTCTGAACCTTTTAAAGTTGTAAATAGGTGTCTGTAAAATTAAGAGAGAAAACCATAGTGTATCAAGGCTGCTGTTTCAGACTAGATCAGGGAGTGGCTTTTCTAATGCTATTGGTAGATATTTTTTGCTTACTTAAGGCTTATATTTTACAAGGTCAGTGGCTTTTCTGCTTTTTCAAGCTGGAAGCGCTGAAGTCTCTGCTGAGTAGAAACAGTATTTGGATAAATAATCTCGGATATGGCTTTACAACTGTCTCTTAAGCTGTTCCAAGTCCATGCTGCCAACGGGAATTGTGCTCCTGAAAATGTGTTCCTGCTTTCTGCCTTCTACTCATGTTTGTATAAGCCAGTCAGATCTGGGAATTAAATCAGCTGAAATTTCTTTTCTGATTCTGTTTCCAGCTGCATGGCTTTGCAGGCTCGACTTGATTGTGTAGCCACGAGTCCTTATGGCAGCATTGGGGATGAAGAAGAAATAAAAAAATAAAAAAGAAAAAAAATCCCCACTCAATCACAGTTTATACTCCATAGTGGGATTAAACTCGGGAAACTCTTTAACTGAAGAGACTATAAGTTATTAGATGCTATTAATACTTCAAATACTGGGATACACTTCAGATACCATCAGTATGCTGTAATAATTGCCACGTTTCTCCAAGTCATTTTTAGTTTGTTTTCATTCATTGAAATTGTGCTTGCTGAAGTGCATGTGATTCAGGCATGGAAGGGTTGGAACGAAGAGTAGTTAAAGGAAAAATACAGTGAGTCTCATTCTGTGAATTAATTAAGACTGGTGGTGATTACTTGGTATGTGTCTTTTAATATGATAGTCAGGTCTTTTTGTTTGGTTTTTTTTTTTTTTAATCAGAGTAACTTGAATGGTGTAAATGCTCAATTTCTAGATGTAGTTAGAAGGTACTTAACACATAAATTTAATAAAATCAGCATTTCTTTAGGTTGAGGAAGAAGGTCTAAGGAAGTGGTTTGAGAAGGCTAGAAACAATCTGATAGCTTGATGCCACCAAAAGGCTAAGTTGTTCCTTGGGTTTCTCCTTCATCAGCTGCTGTTGGTCTGACTTCTTGGGCTGATCTGTCAGAAGATCCTTCGCTTTTTGCTGCTGGATTAGTCTCCTGCCAGCTTGGTGGCTTCCCAGTACCCCCAGCAGTGATCCAGTTTGGAGGGGAGAGGCAAAAGCTGTCACTTTTCTGGTGGGGAGATTGCTAGATTCAGTGGTAGGGAGGTGGAAGAAGGTGAAGTGAGCACAGTTACACCTTGAGTAAGTCTTATGGTAGAACTGATAATGTGTAACGTGGGGCTGCACCTTTCTTTAAGAAACAAGTGGAAATAACATAATTTTATAGGAATTTAGGATTTAAAAAAATACTTATAGTAATACTTATGATTTTATTTGCCTGTATCTCACCATCATTAAGTAACTGAAATCTGTAACTTGAATTCCTGTGAGGAAAACCTGGATCTCAGACGTGCAAGGAACACATGGTCCTCACGTACCTTAACGGCCACTTCTGGCCATGGAAACCTTTTCTGTCACTGCTCCTGGGACATTCCCTGCCTGTCTTATGAATGCATCTTTATGAGCTTGCTTAGAGGTGTTAAAAATGTCATCCCTACAGTATTACACATTTTTAATACGCTTCAAGTATGGAAAGAGTAATTTGGAACACACACATATACAACACCCCCCAAGCCTGGACTTCAGGGCTTCCACCTGAATTCCAGTAATGCCCAGTGAAGGGGAAGAACTGGTAGTAATGGTCAAAGGATCTGGTGGGTTTTAAAATCTACACTTCAGAAATTCAAGGTTAAATAACCAAAAAAAAATATGGTTATTTAATTGTGAACACCAGTCTTGATCTGCTTACCAGCAGTGTTTGAATATAGGGAGGGTAAAGAAGTTTGGTTTTTCTTCTCTTTTCTTCCATGTGTCATGACAGGAGCATTTTGGCATTTTTTTTTTTAAACAACTTAAAAGTCACTAAGAGAAAGAGCAAAAATTAGAAATGAAGAGCTACAAAATGAGGTAGTAGAAACCCTGCAATTTCAGTGGGAGAGGCTTGTTTGAACCTTCCATGGGTGTAAACTGGTTTTAGAGTGCTGTAGGCTGCTGGTGTTTGAAATTTTGGGCAGGGAGGATTTCCTGGGGCTTGGGAGAGGGAAACAGCTTGGAAATTTTAAAGGTTATTACTAGTCTTAGTAATATCCGGAGCAGGTGAGGTGCAAGGAATTCCTTTGAGGCTGGAAGTAATAAAGAAGTAGCATAATTGTGTAAAATGTAGTAGATGGATGATCTGGAAACGAAAATGTGGATGTTCAGAAACTGGAGAATCTTGTGAAAAGTCCAAAGGAGCTGAATGAATGTAAGCCAGCTGTTTAATTCTCTCTTTTAGATACAGGTGTATTTCTTCTCAGACCCTAGGTGTCCTAGATGTGTCAAATAGCTGAAGACTTCAGTCATTCGCTTATGCTAATATAATTTCTCTACTGATTTCTTCCAAGCTTATTGACTTCTAAAAACTAAAAAAGGGGGGTGGGGTGTGTTTATGGGCAAGATCCTCCCTGCTGCTCCCCTCCGGTCGTGCCTTTCTTGTGTCCTTCTCACCTGTACTTGGACCTGGCTCCTTCTGTCTTCCCTGGGTTCTGCCAAGAGGGTTACATTTTGTGAACATGAGTCTTTTTTTCCCCAAATGAAGAACCGTCTTAATTTTTATTTTTAGCCCTTCTTCAATCTTGCTTTGTCTAACTCTTTTTATTAAAGAGAGTTGAAGACTTTTTGGCTAAATTAATACATTAACTCAGAACTCACCTCTGTGGATTGTTTTCTTTTGAAGGTAATAAATGTGTTTAGGTTAAATTTGTTATTTGTAATTTAAATTAGTTCTTAATCTTTGCCCTGCCCTTTGCAGGGTTAATACATGAGGTGGTGGAAGTTTAGGACACCACCTTAAACATTTTGATGGAGGAGAATACGGCCTTGATTCTGTTGGGTTTGGTATTAATTGAAAATCTGACTTTATCCTGCAAGTCGTGTCCCACCTCGTCCCCGCAGTATCGTACGGGAGGCAATTGTCAATGGTTACAATTTTGTTTTAAAGTTGTAGGGAAGTGGTTTAAACATGATTAAATTTTGGGTTAGTAAATGAATTTCTCCATGCCCATTGAGTGTTCAGCTTTAAGAGATTTACAAAGATAAAACAAGTGATTTTTTGAGCCAAATCCAGTATTCCAGTGTGGTTGGTGAGCATTCTCGGTCAGAATTGACACCAAATTTAAATTGTTTATTTTTAGGAAAAAATACGATTCTGCTGCTGAATTTTATATCATCTTTAATATCTTGAAATAAAAAAACACCTTCTAGTGTGTTCAAACCCAGTGTTTAAGCTGTGTGACTGAAGTTAGGCATTATACTGATTAAAAATAAAGTCTAAAATGCTAATTAGGTTATGTCATTACTGAAAAAGATGACAAATAAGAGAGTAGATGGGGTGTTACTCCAGAGCAGCATTGGAGTGGGTTCCTCCGAATCGCGGTGCCGGTGGAAAATAGTGATTTGCTTGGAAGCAATACGTAACAGCACTCGTGCGGACAGAGCAGGGGGGGAGTCTGCTCCTAAACCTTCCACCTAGACCTTCTAAATGGCAAGAAATGTCCCCAAAATTACCATAATTATAAGTCATGGAAAGACCCACCACGCTTCGCCTTCCGCGTGCAGAAGGCACATCCCTTGGTCGTCTCCGGCGCAGCAGGGACCTTGCTTAAAGTCTCTTCTTGTTGATTTTTATCTAAGTATGTGGCTGACAGTGCAAAGTATTCTGAGTTTCCTAATGCTAGAGTTCGTTAGTAGATGTTCAGCTGATCCACTGCGCGTTTGCTATTAAATACAGGCATAAATAGCTAATTCAGTTGCTTAGTACTAAGTTAAACTGAATTGACTGAATCTGTTTATAAAATAGCAGGGCATTTGGTAGATTCAATTCTTGAACTGCATATATAGTAAAAGTCCACAAAACATTTTTTTTTTTCTAGTTTCAGTTTTGGCACTAGATTTTATCCTGGAGTTTTTAAATATTCTTCATCCTGTTCTTTTTCTATTAAGGTTAATGTTGAAGAAGGAAAATGCGGAAGTCGCCATTTGACAAGTTTTATAAATGAGAATTATTTGAAGCTCAGGAATAAGTGAAGCTGAAATTTGAAAAAAAAGAAAGTGAATGCATGCTAATTATCAGACCAGAAGTCCCACTTGTAGAATATTGAGCAATTTGTGTGAAGTGGGGAAGATGAAAGAAGTCAGAATTTGAAACGGAAGAATGAAGAAAAGGAATAAAAATGAAGTTAAGATAAGAAGTAATCTGGAATCTGAAAGCACTACGCTAAGTAATTACTAGTCTGTTTATGTGTCCCTGTATATTTTGCTAAACATGCATGCATTATCTGTTTCATAGCAAAAGTATATGCAGGGTAAAGAAGTGTCTACCAGGGAAAAAAAAAAAAATAAAAATAAATAAATAAAAAAAAAAACCTTCTTAAAAATCTCGGCAGTTCTAATGCCAACTGCCCGGACACATAGATATGAATTTTTACCATTTATTTCACTGGAGCTTGTTTACGGACCTTTAGGTAAAGGAGAAATTGTGTACAAATTAGGCTTTCGATATCTGCGTGCAGGAATCCCGTTCTGCTTCCAGAAGCGGAAGTGCTCATGGGTCTGGCAAGTCGGGGAGGCACACCCCTGCGAGGTCTCGCTCTAAGGAGGATTCCAGGCGCTCCAGGTCAAAATCTAGATCCAGGTCTGAATCCAGGTGAGTTTGACTTTTTACCTCTTCCTCCTCCTCTTCGCAAGTCCGATCGTGTCAGAGGTGAACCAAAAAGCCAGTTAAGTTCTGTTTCCAGATTTAACTGGTGATCTGTGGACGGTGAATATCAAAAGGGCATGCGTGGTTTCGGGATTTGAAAAGCTAAAGTATCAAATTAGGTCTTTTTTGCAGCTTTTTCTAAGAGGTAGCTGACTGTCTAGGCTTGGAAGTGGCCTGCCTTAAAGTCTTAAAACGCTGGCTAGTTTCTGAGCAGGAAGCATTAGGAATTCTAAATCTGTTTGGTTTACTAAAGTAGTTTTTCTGTACATTAAAAGAATTAGAAATGTGCATTAGAGATAGTTCTCTTGTGCATTAAAAGAAATAGGTGCATCAGCACATTTTCCATTTGAGGTCCCATTGAGGTATGATGTTTTCTCACTGGAAGCAGTGATGTTTCTGGAGTAGTTAATGGTATATTCCATGAAAAAGCAGCAGTAGAGATAAAATGAATTTCAGGACTATTTGGCTGACCTTTTAACTATATATATTAATTCAATTTGAAAATTAACAGGCTGGAAAGCTTTAAAGATTAGACAGCTTTCCAAGCTCTCAAATAAAAAAAAAGTTGTGGGGAAAGTAATTTATTGTATTTGTTACCTGGCAAAGCAGATGTACAACATGAAAATGCCTTTTCCTCTGTGTTACCTATCCTTATACCCATTTGTTAAACAAGCTGAGACACAAAATATGCTGGCAGTGTCTAAAAATAAGACAATAAACATCACTGCTGACCACTTCACATGGGCCTTACCAGGTGTGTCATCGAAGAGGTACATATTTAATAATGAATAGAGAGGAAACGAAACCTGCAAATGGGTGAATGATGTTATTTTCTTAAGAGTCTAGATAATTGAGTGCTGACTGCGGAAATGAATATGTGGGTAGTGCCTTTAATAATTTTTAAGCAGCCAGGTTAAAAAAAAAAGTGGCTTTCAGCAGGGGAGCTTCCAGTTGAGCTGTTTCACAGTATACTTTTTCTGTGTATAAGCGATGAATTGGGCACCCCAAAGGTCAGACTGGAGGAGGGATGACAGCTCTAGAAGGTGTTGTGCTATTAGCAATCACCCATGATGGAAAAAACTGTCTTAATACTGTGGTTGGGTCTCCTTGCCACATCAGAGCCATCGGTTGGAGAGGCTTTTGTCAGGAGGGAAATACTTGGGAAATCTTTACAGCAGAGGGATGAGCTTGGGTTTTGTGTGGACTACAGGCACAAGTGTCAGATTGTGTGCTTGGCCATCCCTGTAGGGCAAGAACAATACGTCAAATTACATGAATAAATATTTCATAGAGTAATATTGCCTTACAGAGTATGAAATTGGGGTGACCTCTGGAATTGCTGGTAGTGAGGGATGTTCACGGGACAGCCCAGGATGGTCCAAAACCCTGTGTAAGGAAGAGTCAGCTCTGGGCTCAGACCATGTCCTCAGGGCTTTATCCAGTTGTGGTTTGAAAATTTCAGAGGATGGAGACTGCATGCACTTTTGGGGAACCTTTTAATTTGAAAATAAGCAGCAAGTCAGGACCCATCCAGCATGTTCTGCTCCCCCTCATCCATAACCCCTAGGGATTCTGTACTCTTTAAGGAACCTTTTTTCTCACTTGCAGAATAACCCTAATACTGTGTAAGAATGCAATCAAAAATTGTATAAAATGCTGGAAGAAGCAAATACAAGATGTAGAATTGACAAGAAAGCTGGCAAATTGTTTACTCTTAGAAGAAATCACTATTTAAATAATACCCTGGCAACTGCCTCTTTGGCTTTTGATGGAACAAAAGTAGAAGCTTACGGCTGCCAGGGCTTCCTGAGCATTTAACAGCTGTCTTGAAAATGCCTATGGCTGGAAACACTGGAAGTGTATTGCAGAGTTAGAGTGTGTTCGTTAGCAGGTTTCAGCAGAATTGTGTCAAGGCACATATTTAGAAGCAACGTGGTTCTGTTTTCAGTATTTTCAGTCACATGTTGGGATGTGACACGAGCAGGTCTTCTAACTCTGGCTCTCACCAGAGAAATAACCGTGTAAGAATTTGCCTATTTCTCGAGAGTTTGTGTTGCAAATGTATTTTTTTTGAATTACCAGCTTTATAAATTAAACTTTTGCTTTGGGAACAAGTCTGTGTCCTGGTGTATTTGTCAGTTGGGGTGTGGATATACTTGATTGAAAAGTCTGCTTTTATTGATGTTTTCAGTGGCAGCAGAGCACGCAATCTCTGACTGACTCTGTGAGGTCTAAACTCTCCTTAAAGGAAGGAGTAGGATTTTCAGCTGTGGTGCCTTTGCAGCAAAGGAGAATAATAATAATAATGGCAGTATGACATTTAAGGCAGCAATATAAGTGGTGCCTATTTAAAATAAGCCTTGTTCTCTCATATAATAAGTTGCCTGGTGTAGAAGTGTCCAGCTTTTGTTCAGTGTGACGGGTGCGTTCTGTAACCTGGAACATCAGTTCTGTAATTCTTTTTTTTTTTCCTGTTTCAGTGGTTGAAATGTGGCTGTATGCATGTGTTGAACTTCTTTTTTTTTATTATTATTATTATTTCTTCCCCCACCTCAGGGAACTACTTTTTTTTTTTTTTTTTTTTACTCTCTGTTGCCAAAAGTAATTTATTCTTTATAAATATGCAGTTAAAAGTAATTTCTCCTGGACATGTATATGTGCTTCAGGTTGAGGAAGACAGGATGTAGTTGGGTCAGTTCTGACAAGGTTGAAGGCTTTTTTTTTTTTTTTTTTTTTAAGGAGACCTGTAACTACAGAGTGTATAATCTGCAGTTTGTCTGGTGCCACTTCCTTGGTGATAAATCCTGGCTGAAGAAGCTGTTAAATGCTCAGGAGTAAAAGCGGGTGGAGATTTGGAGCTTTAGGGGGTGTCAGTGTGAAACACGCTTGTGTGATGGTGGCAAATTTCAGTCTCAGTCAGTCCTCACCACCTGGGCTTCCACGAACTAGAGGAAGGATGTTTAAGACACAAACAAGAGTCTGAAAATTAAAATTTCTGACTGAGAGCCTTTGAATATCAAACTGTTGATTGCACTTTGGAGCTGTGTGGAGTGCAGATGGCTCAGGGGCTGCCATCAGCAGGCCAAGCTCAGGTGTAATACTCCAGTTTAAGTGCCTGCCCAGCTTTTACAGCTCAAGATTGTCGGTGTTGGGAGGGCTGAGGGTTCAGCAGAAGGAACTGAAGTGTTTCAGGACCTCACCTTCCCAAACCTAATGCTGTCAGAAAACATTTTCTGGAACTGCTGTGAGGAGAGCTGGGCCGAAATAAGTGAGCGGTTACACCTTTGCCTGAATACACTTGAAGTGTGAACACGTAGACATTTGTGAAGGTGTTAAATAACTGTTGAAATACCCAAAAGAAGCCTCCTACAGCTCGATTTCTTCAATTGTGTTAAGCTCTGTTTGCCAGCCTTCTGTGCTTGTTGTTATGCACTGGGGGAAAAAAGCCTATCTGCTTTTTGGTGTCACCGAAAGCAGTGCTGTTCTGAGCGTTAGAATAAGCAGAAGTGTGCACCTCTGTTTTATGTTAAGTGATATTTACTCCTCTTCCCCTTTTCTGTTAAGCCTTTGAGAGAAAGCCACCCCAGCTATTTTTACTGAAATCCTGTGTATATTACAAGCATATACTGTGTCAATCAAGGATAGCCTTGTTAGAGAAGGTTAAAAGCTATTGGGGAGTTAAAAGCTAACTGAAATGGAAGTTGAGGTTCCTGTTCTGCAGCAGGAATGCTCTGAGAGCATCTGCATTAATTAGATTTAGCACAGAGTCCTTGAGAGCAGTGACTAAATTGATCATAGCTAAATCATGTGGTACTGCAGCTTGTAAGAAAACGATTATTTGGGCTTTTTGTTTGTGAATATCTGACATATTTCTGAAGGGTTAGTAAAAAGCCAAACCAACGGAACGCTGTAGCCTTTCCTCTTTTTTGTTCTCCCCTCAGATCTAGATCAAGGAGGAGTTCCCGTAGACACTACACGAGGTCACGCTCCCGTTCCCGCTCCCACAGGAGATCCAGAAGTAGGTCCTACAGTCGGGATTATCGCCGCCGACACAGCCACAGCCACTCACCCATGTCTACCCGCAGGCGTCACATCGGAAACAGGGTACGTCTCTCAGGAGAGTAGATGACCCGCGTGAAGTCCTGAATATCACAGAATCTTCTAGGTTGGAAGGGACCTTAAAGATCATCTTGTCCAACCGTCAACCCAACTGACAAAAATAGACACCCACACAACAAACAAGGAGCATCATCACTAAACCAGACCTCCCAGCACTACATCAACACCTCCAGGGATGGGGCTTCAACCACCTCCCTGGGCAGCCCATCCCCTCCTTTCAGGGAGTTGTAGAGAGCAAGAAGGTCTCCCCTCAGCCTCCTCTTCTCCAGGCTGAACACCCCCAGTTCCCTCAGCCTCTCCTCATAAGACTTATTCTCCAGACCCCTCCCCAGCTTTGTCGCCCTTCTCTGGACCCGCTCCCGCACCTCAATGTCTTTTTTATGGTAGGGGGCCCAAAACTGGACACAGCACTCAAGGTGAGGCCTCACCAGTGCCCAGGACAGGGGGACAATCACCTCTCGGGCCCTACTCCCCACACTGTTCCTGACACAGGCCAGGATGCTGTTGGCCTTCTTGGCCACCTGGGCACACTGCTGGCTCATGTTCAGCCCACAGGCAACCAACACCCCCAGGTTCTTTTCTGCCAGGCAGCTCTCTCCTGAAATCACTGAATTAATTCACTGGGATTTTCTGGGAAAAAAACCCATTCTGCTTCCAGCTCAGGTCTATTCAAAAGATACAGTTGAGGTTAATTGTCACTTGGCTTTTGATGAGTTGTGGATCTCAATAAGTTAGGATTGTGGGGGTGTCTTGTTTATTTTTCAAGAGATGCCTTTGTAAGTGCTGCCAGTGGAGGCTGGTGTCAGTGTACCTGCTGTAAGAAACAAGCAAATGCATGCAGTGAAGGGTGGGGGTAGAATTAGGAGGGAGAATTTTAATTTTTTTTCTAATTAGAAAACTAAAATACTCCATTAAAAGCTGTTGTGATGGTGTTTGTTAAACAAGCATGCAAACCAACTTGCTTTTAGCTGCTTTACAACTTGGGTGGCTGAGCCACGATGTGGTTGGTGTTAAAGGTAGAGGGGGAAAGTGATAACAAACCCAAAGGAAGGTGTGATCCAGGCACCTGTGACTGTATAAATCTCTACATTCAACAGTCATCTGCCAGCATTTGGACGGAAACCTTTTCAAATCCAGTACCTGTTACGTGCTGTCGCTGTAGTTTGTACATTACCCTGAGAAATGCAGAGTATTTTTGTGAAAAGGAGGCTCATGTGTCTGTAGGTTTGATTGTAATAGTATCTACTAGCAAGTTAACCCAGCCTGAATCTTGTCAGGAAATTTATGTTGTTTTGTCTTCAAGCTCTGACAGTCACAACTTGTGAAATAACTGCAAATACAAGCAATTTTAATATCTTATCTATCTGTCCCTTCCTTGCAGGCAAATCCTGACCCAAATTGTTGTCTGGGCGTGTTTGGATTGAGTCTGTACACCACAGAAAGAGATCTGAGAGAAGTTTTCTCCAAATATGGTCCAATTGCTGATGTTTCCATTGTATACGATCAGCAGTCTCGGCGTTCCAGAGGATTTGCCTTCGTGTACTTCGAAAATGTTGAGGATGCTAAGGAAGTAGGTTGGGGTACAGAACGTATGGGGTGGTTTCTGGGTTCTCAGTTGCCAAGGTGTGTGTGTTTTCTAACAGGATACACGCTGAGGAAGGTCACTGATTGACCTTTAAAATGCTGTAGGAACCTTTAATGTTAATTCCTTTTGACTATATGAAATGATCATTTAATACAAGCGAGTTCACAGTGTCTTCATCCATAATAAATGTCGGTCCCTTAGTTCAGAAGGTACCTACAGTGTGCTAAAGGTCCATGGATACTGGTTCCTGTGCAGGCTGAGCTGGTGTGTAACTCAAAAGCAACCCTGGGGCTGGGCATAGTGCAAACCACACCAGTGAGGAAAAGAAAATAGAAGAAACATGGGCTCTCTATTTGAATTATGAGATGAGCATTCCTTCCTAACTCCACATGTGATCTTGAATTTAACAACGTGTTCAACATGAAGCAAATGGCCATTTCAGAGCTCTAACATGCATTCTCTTGGCTTCATTCTGAAAGGGGGGAATCTTTTGTGAACGTAAAAGGCCAGGTATTATGTGGCTTCCTGGTGCCTGCAAATGTCCATGGGATTTAGTAAATTGAAGCAGTGTCAGTAACAAATAACAAATTATGAGATTTTTGCTTACAAGTGCTACAGAATGAGCAGGGAATTCTCTGCTTGCCAGGTATAGAATTCTATGCTTAGGCCAGCCCTTCAACAGGTTGTGCTTATGGGCTGTAATTAGGTTTATATTCTGTATATATTCCACTACTTAAAGTCTCTAGTGTCGTCTCTTCCAAATTTGGCATGAAGGCTTCCATCTTAGGTTGGAGCTTTGGATGTAGGTCACAGGATCACAGAATCTTCTATGTTGGAAGGGACCTTAAAGATCATCTTGTCCAACCGTCAACCTGACTGACAAAAATAGACACCCACACAACAAACAAGGAGCATCATCACTAAACCAGACCTCCCAGCACCACATCAACCCGGCTTTTGAACACCTCCAGGGATGGGGCCTCAACCACCTCCCTGGGCAGCCCATTCCAATGGCTGATAAAACCCAATGGTTTTGATTTTTTACTTCAGATTTAGTTATGACTCAAGATTATGGTAGGTTTGAGGATGTATTGGAGGTCTGAATGCTTTGCTTCATGTTGTGTGCTGGAGTAGTTACACGTCCCTACATTAACATCATTAAGAGAAACCTTTGAACAGGGTTGAGACCGTGGTAGTGAAGCAGTTATTAAATTATGATCCTTCCAGGCTTTTTATGTGATATAAGTCACATTTTAAGTGGTTACTGGAGCTCATGTCCAGCTGGTCTGGAATGTCTTACAGTTTATTTGGTGTTACGTATGAGGTATAAGTGAAATTTAGACCTGGATCCAAACTGAGCCTTTTTAGGGCTTCTCTTCATCCTTGCAGCAGTGGTTAGAGGCTTGTGTTGGTGATAAAGTTCACAGCTACAGCAAATTGTATTTTATCACTCTGTTTAGGCAAAGGAACGTGCCAATGGAATGGAGCTGGACGGAAGAAGGATCCGGGTAGACTTCTCCATAACAAAAAGACCTCACACACCTACCCCTGGAATCTATATGGGAAGACCCACTTAGTAAGTTACTTGCATGGGGGTTGGTTTTTTCCCAACCCAGTATGGGATAGGATTCATTTTATTGTGTTTTGTTAAAAACTGTTCAGTATCCCCTCTAAGAGACCTGACTCTCTTGTGGTTTTTCCTTCTTGACAAGAGCAGCACAAACACTGATGTGTTTATCCTGCAAAACTTCTGAAAACTAAACAACTCAAATGATAAAGGTGGCTTTTCAGAAGTTTTTTGAGGAAAAAAAAGACTACATGTGGGCAGCCAACTCTAGCAATGCCTGTGTTTCCAGCTCTTGGGATAGGAGGAGCAGCTTATCAGTGACTGATTTAGGGTCAGGCTGGATTACAATGCACAGAAACCTGTCTTCCTTAGTTATGCATCCCAGGCATGAACTATCTAAACATTTAAACAAGCCTACAATAAGATTTCTTTGACAATTTTGAAGTTATTTTTAGTTGTTCTCCTATGGACCTTCAAACATTAATGTCTTTTGCAAGCTCAAATTTTCAAGAGGGAATTAACAAGTTGTAGCTGAGCAGCTGCGTGGTGCGGTTTGCCCTATCCATAGAATGTACTTTTGACTTAACGTGGCCAAGAGTGTAAATTTTTCTCCAAAGTCATTTCCCAGTTGTTTGCCCAGGATTTCCAGCTGTGGTACTGGTGATTATGTAGGTGATGTTGTGTTGAGACCGCAGGTTATTATTTTTTTTTGTGAATGGGAAAGTTCTTCCATAAGGAGCTTTCTGAGAGCTAAAAGTTGTCACAGAATGGAATTTCTCATGTGATATCAAAAGGTTAAGAGGTTTCAGACCAAGGAGGGAAGTAGCTGTCTTAAAGTTCAGATTTTATTACAGTGTTAGATTTTATTACATGTAATTCTCTTTTACTACTTGCAGTGGCAGCTCACGACGACGAGATTACTACGACAGAGGGTACGACAGAGGGTATGATGATCGTGACTATTACAGCAGATCGTACAGGTGAGGCAATATTATTATTTTACTACTTTTAAAATTGTGCTTCCTCATCTATATTTCTACCTCTATAAGTGTTGACCAGTTCATCCTACATAGGAATAGCCAAAATATTTTTGCACTCACTGTCATTCTGGAGTCATCTTTACCAAAGTGACTGCTCAGTACAAGTCAGATTGAGAAATACTTTGTGACGTTTAACCTGTGGCATGAATTAGTCCATAATGTGTTCTTTTTCATCTGCATTAAGTTTTGAAAAGCAAAGTATGTTCTCTGTACTTTTGTTTTAAAAGAATCTTTTGTTGGTTCATGATTGAAATGGTGGGAATATGGGTGCAGATCTCACATTTGAGGTGGTGTTATGGTGCCAACAATATAGTGCCTTACATTTTGAGCATAGTGGAGTAGACAAAAAGTGGGAAAATTCAGTAGTCACCAATATCCCCTACTAATAATTATGGCACCTCAAATGTTTTTTAAAAAAAGAGGAATTAGAGATTGAAATATTACCTGTTCAGTATTGGACACTTACATTAAAAAAGCTTTTTTTAACATTCTGTTTGGTTGAATTTGTGTTTTACTTGGAGGGCTCCTGCCACCTATTTATGTCTTTCTTCAGTCTAAACTTGTGTGTTGGGCAGTGTAGTAGGTAGCTGAAAGAGGTGAATGTTCAGGTGACAATACACGTTGTCAGAGAGTGAGTAAAGTTGATACCAACCACGTTTTCAGCAGATTTTGTGTGTAATTGGTTTTGGTGATGGAGCAAGTTTGTCTTCTGCATTTTCCATTAAGACTGGCAACAAGACTTGTCCCCTGTGAAATCCCTGCAATTGCTGGGGCACTATTAAGTTGGACACAAAGATAAGAGTTCTTTTTTTTTCTGTCTGCAATTGCCATAAGGTTCCTGTAGTTGCCAGATTCTATGGTAGTACTTCCAAAGTGGTTTGCAAAACTTAAATGCCCTGGCAGTGGGTGGATTTGTGATTGTTCCCAACCATGTGTTCATGGAAGATAGATTAATTCAAATTGCATCATCACATTACAGCTCAGAGACGAAATAATATTAAGTCTATCATCTTAGCTTGCTGTGTACTCTGTTGCTTTCTAGGTGTAGAAGAAAATACCTTTTTTTTTCACTTACATGGATAACTGTCTGGTCATTGTCAGTGACTGAGGGCAGCTGTCTCCTACTTTCAGCCAGTTTTTATTCGGTCCCGAGGTGTTGGTGTTGGTTTCAGTCTGTTTCAGTCATCACGAAATCGGGTGCCTTCCACGGTGTTTAAATGCTGCTGTGGACAGGGAGGGGATCAAGGTGCTCCCCATCATCAGTGAACGTGTGTTCAGAAACGTTCTGGTCACCTTTCTGGGTGCTCCTCTGCCTTTAACACTCCGTTTTCTTGTAACTTAAGTGGCTTTGAACATTCTGGAGAACTGTAGCAACTAAAAATGTGATGTTGAGACTGGGCGTACAAGACCCAGGACGTGTTGGGTTTCACTCTGCCAGCCACTTGTGTGTTGGCTTTCAGATGTGGTAGATGGCTCTTTGGCCAAACTTACAGTTTTGTTTCAGAGCCTGAGGTCCTAAAACTTCCTTGGGATAGCTAACACAGCCTCATCTCACTTAATGTATTAAAACTGAAATCTAGTGGGCAAATTAACTGAAGTGGTTTGCCAGAGTGTTGGGGAGCAGAAAAGACTTGGAACGTAGCCTGCTAAGCTGTTAGTGGTGTTTCTAGCTTGCTTCTTCCACTTTTCCTCTTTTTCGTCTTTTGTATGTTAAAAAAAAAAAAGTTTTTTTTTTAAAAAAAAGTAAATGAAATGGCAGGGACACCGAAGGACTGTCAAAAGGTGTGGGGCTAATGCAGTGTTTGATAAGGGTTTTACACCATTGTTCTTTCTTCTTGCACTTCTTCAGAGTACAGCTTTCCTTATCCTTTCACAGAGGGTCGGTCGGGGTGTACTGGTTGCCCTTGAAATCTGTTGTTTCTTAAAATGTGATTTTTAGTCCTTGTGTAGATTATGGTATGACCTTCAGGTCTGTAGTGCCCGAGGTGTTACCTCTTCCATTCCTGAGAGTGAGCAGCGGCTCAGATGTTGGTAAAACGTTATCAGGAGTTGTAATTATGTGGGTTCTGGGTGCAGGCTGGTGAGAAAAGTTGGGGACCTGTAGTGCCTGGTAAGATGTGATATCAGGCAGTGCACTGGTCTTAGTGAATTCCTGGGGATACGTGTACTGGGAGATGTTCTGACCATCCTGCATGCTCCCCTGCCTTTTTGGAACCAGGGCTTTGGGGTGGAAATACTCAGAATACTCACAATTCCAGGAGGGGTGAGTTCCTTTAAAAAAAAAAAAAGAGAGAACCCCCCAAAAACCCCCACCCCAATGTTTTCAAGCTCATTATCAAGGTTTTAAAGAACCTTGCAGATATTGAGGGAGAGCAAGTCCTGAGTAACATGCTCTAGCTCTAGGCAATCCTGCTTCAGCAGGGGAGTTGGACTAGATGATCTCTATGGTCCCTTCCAACTCTAAAATTCAGTGAAATTCAGTGAAATGGTTTGTGTGTGGCTGCTTTAGAAATACCGTGGTGTATTGGTCACTTGATGGAGAGAGAAGAATAGTGTTGTGTACGTGGGGAATGCTTCCTTGAGGAAGGGCAAGTTAGAATTGTCAAAGATGAAGCAGAGCATTGCATGCTAGTGCTCCACCCTAGAAAATCCATTGGTAACAATTGCTTTGCTTTCCTTGCCCTCCCTGCAGTGAAGCCCTTAAGGGAAATACAATTTCAGATGGGAATTGTCATGTTAAAACTTTTTATTTTCTCCCGTTTGCTGTGGGATGCTTAATCTTGGCTGGAAAAATATCTGTAAACTGAAGAACAACATTAAAAAGCCTGAATTTGCAACACTGGCTATCTATCTAATGGAAGAGACTTTAAAAAAAAAAAAAAATTAAAAAAAAAAAGAGACCTGTTGCTTGAAAGTGTGGTGCAGTGTTGGGGGATTCTTTGTCCTTTGTATGATTTATGTTGGTTTTTGAGCTGCTGTGAGACATCTGTGGCAGCGACTGTTCCATAATCCAAACTTGATTTAGTCTCCCCCTGGTCATGCTTTACTGTATCTGAATCTGTGGAGGTACCAGCCCAACCACTTAATGTTGTTAAATAATACACTGTTTCAGTTCTACACAGCTTCTGTATAAGGAGAAGTTGCACCTCAGTTCTTAAATGCCCTTCTTTAACCATGATTGTGAAGTGTTAAAAGTGTGAGTGTGGGATTTTTCTCCCTGCCTCCACCTTGGAATCAATTTTTTTCCTGAGGACAGTGAATTGATCTTTCTACTGAAAAAAAAATAAATACACAGTTGCTTGCCTCAAGTGGGTAAGCATCTGAGAATAGAAATGGTCTGTGTACTGATCTTAAAATGCTGCTGGTTGAAGAGTATGACATGGTAAAATACGATATTAGTCAGCTGGAACATGAGTCCTCTTGAACTGCTCCTTGACACCGAGTGTCGCCAGCTCATTCCAGGAATACACAGAAAGAAAGGTAATGAAGTCATTCGGTGTTCTGCAGGGTGGGAACATCACTTCACATCACTTTCCTGTACTTGATGATGCTTTTTGCTCGTCGAACGAACTTCTTGTTTATTTTTAAAATTTTCAAAAGCCATTCTGCTTTTGTATTTGCAGAGGAGGCGGCGGCGGAGGAGGAGGAGGATGGAGAGCTGTTCAGGACAGGGATCAGTTTTACAGGTACAGCAGGGAAGCTTTTGGCATCTGGTCAACAGTGGAAATACTCTTTCACAAGACGTTTTTTGAGTATTCTCTGACTCGTGTCTAGGGTCACAAAGATGATGAGGGACTGGAGCTGAGGAAGGCTGAGGGACTTGGGTCTTTTTAGTCTGGAGAAGAGAAGACTGAGGGGAGATATGACCAACACTTATAAATACTTAAAGGGTGGGTGTCAGGAGGATGGGGCCAGGCTTTTTTCAGTGGTGCCCAGTGACAGGACAAGAGGAAATGGGCACAAACTTGAACAATAAGAAGTTCCACCTAAACATGAGGAGGAACTTCTTCACTTTGAGGGTGGCAGAGCCCTGGCAGAGGCTGCCCAGGGAGGTGGTGGAGTCTCCTTCTCTGGAGACATTCAAATCCCACCTGGACACGTTCCTGTGGGACCTGCTCTGGGTGGCCCTGCTCTGGCAGGGGGTTGGAGGAGATGATCTCCAGAGGTCCCTTCCAACCCCGTAGCATTCTGTGATTCTGTGCTATCTTTAAACACTTAACAGAACCTGGGTGGATGCTGAGCTCTTCAGTGAGCAGTGCAGTTCAAAGGTCCCCTCATCACGATGTAAAAGGGTCAATGTCCTGAATGTTGGGGGATTATTTTTACTTACTTGGAGATTAGTGGAATTAGGCAAGGAGAGGCAAAATTTGGGAGCGCCTGGATTGGAGGGGGTTGGGAGTGGGGTTGGTTGTAGGATTAAATCAACGCAGATTGAAATCAATTCAGATTGAAAGTGAAGGTGAGACTTGGGTTGCCCTGCCAGTTTGGGCACTCTTGGCTTGAAACCCTGAAGTCTCAGGTAGTCACATGGTGAATGCAGGAGAGCTTTGCTGAGTCCAAAGTAACATTACTGTGACCCAGTAATAAGAGCATTAAAAAAGTTCCAGTCTTTGTTATCCAGTAGAAATGTTGATGAGCGAGTTCCGTGCTCGTTAGTATCAAGTACACTCTTGATACCAGGATGGGGTTTGAGGTCTCCACATAAAGCTGCTGCCACAGGCTTTAATGAAGGGATTTTTTTGCTGTCCTCTTCTACAGGAGACGATCACCATCCCCCTACTACAGCCGTGGGGGCTACAGGTCACGGTCCAGATCCCGGTCCTATTCACCTCGTAAGTACCCCCACAGCTCCCCTATCAAAAGCAAATTTCCACTTTGCTTCAACTTCTTCTTTTGAGGTTTTGCCCCTCCATAAAGACTATTCGGCCTCAGTGTGGTTACTTTTCATTTTGGAACCACGGTTTCCTTTAATGTTTCATCGAGCAATTGGTAACCTTGAGGACAGAGCAAATATTTAGTTTGCAAAAAAAAAAAAATAAACCAGGTAGTACTGCTTGTTTTTAAAAAAAAAAGTCTGAGGTACCTTTTTTTTTTTTTTTCTCCGAAACCCTGTCAAAACAGGAGTTTGTAGTAAGCTGAGAGTTTGGTAACCTCTAGGACAGCAAGGCCAAATTCCCAATCCTTGAACGTTCCAACACTGAAGCTAATTCCCAACATCACTTGCTAAAGAGGAGGTCAGCTTCATCTGAGGTCCAAATAGTGCTTTATTATTTTTTTTTCTTAATTGCTTATTTGCATGGAATGTGCTACAAGGATGATGAGGGGCCTGGAGCATCTCTCTGATGAGGAAAGGCTGTGAGGGACTCAGGTCTTTTTAGTCTGGAGAAGACTGAGGGGGGATCTGACCAACATCTATAAATACTTCAAGGGTGGGTGTCAGGAGGATGGGGCCAGGCTTTTTTCAGTGGTGCCCAGGGACAGGACAAGAGGAAATGGGCACAAACTTGAGCATAAGAAGTTCCACCTAAACATGAGGAGGAACTTCTTTCCTGTGAGGGTGGCAGAGCCCTGGCAGAGGCTGCCCAGGGAGGTGGTGGAGTCTCCTTCTCTGGAGACATTCAAACCCGCCTGGACACGTTCCTGTGGGACCTGCTCTGGGTGGCCCTGCTCTGGCAGGGGGTTGGAGGAGATGATCTCCAGAGGTCCCTTCCAACCCCATATCATTCTGTGATAACGCTGCATTTTGATGGCAGAAGGTTAATAAAACCTGGCAATCCTTGGAAGTTTAATAGCATTTTTTATTTTATCTTTTTTTTTCAGGTCGCTATTAAAGCATGACACGTAGAGGAATTCCTAGCTACAGCCTTTGAGTTGAAACTGCAAGTTTGTGGACAATATTTTTATTGTCTCTTCTGTTTAAACAAGTGACCAGTGCCTAGTGAATAGGTGACTTTTACACCTTTTATGAAGACTACTTCTGTGATGTTCGATGCTGTTTCATTCTGCATATTTGTGTAGTTTGGTGCTTTGTTTCAAGTTGTGTTTTGAAAGGAGTATGTTTTGCATGTATTTTTTTAGTCTCAATTTTGACTCCTGAAAGGTTTCTATTGTAAAGACAAACTGTTCAGTTAGTTTTTTCTACTGATTCCAAGGTATTCTGAAGATCAAAACCTGTGTAAAATGCTTTCAAAAAGTAAAAAAAAAAAAAATAAAAAGATGGTTTTGGTTTTTTCTTTTCCTACTTACTTTTGCCAAGTGTTAAGTTACGGGTTGAGAAGAGACTATACCACTTGGGCTGTGTATTCTGGAGTTGTGTTTGAAGCCCAGAAGGGAATTTCACCCTTGTTCACACCTTGTTCTGTGTTTCTGGGTGGTTGTTTTCTAAATGTAGGACCTCCAGGTGTGTGGAGACCTGTGTGTGCAGCTTGTGCCACAGCAGGAGCTGGGACCCTCCGTGGGCTGTACGTGTTGGAGCAAGACTTGCAGTAAACTCTGGGTGATGCCCTCAAGGTAGATGAGCTGTTGGGAGATGATGGACCTTGGAATAAGGAGAGGGACTTCTGTGGATGTAGGGGAGCCTACGCTTAGAGAAGGCAATGAAATAAGACTTTGAACACTTGGATTTTTCTTCTTTCTTCACTGGTGATTGTCCCTCTTCTTAAGAGCGCAACTTTATCCACATACGCAGCGAAAATGCAATAGGACTCTCAAGTGACACTTACACCAACATTCTCTGCAGGATTTGAAGGTGCTTTTCTCAAACTAGACCTTCCCTTCCGTCTTGTGCTGTATCTCCAGCGGTCACCAAGCACAGAGGACCAAGGAAACAAGAGTGGTGAGATGCTGGGCTACATCTGCCACTAATCTTGGCTTTTGAACACAAGTTCCTCTACTTTTTTTTTTTTTTTTTTTTTTTTTTCCCCCTGCATAGTAATTTCCATACTTTTTTCATGGTCTAAGAGGACCTGCAGCCTCTTGGTCTTTATTTGATGCTCTCTCCCTGTATGGGAAGGGGAGAGACAACTCCATTTCTCAGCAGCAGCCTCCACCATCTTCTGTTTCACTGGGGCTTCCAGATCCAGTTAGATCTTCACGTGGAAGTTCTCAGCAGCTTTACTCTTAACTTAAGTTTAATTTCTGCTTCTGCTGGGAGTTGTTTTGGAGGGAGGTGGCAGGATGGAGCAGGATGGCACAGATTTAGGATACCATGGGTTTAGGTGGTACCATGGTGTCGATTCCTTCCTGAGCACCACCTCCTGCTTGCCCTGGTTTGGTTTTGTGTGCAGTTAGATCTACGATCTAATTATTGGTTTTTTTAATCTTGGGTCGGAGGAGATGCATTGAGCTTTCCACCTTGGTTTATACTACTATTTTTTTGTGTGTGGAAATACCGGTGTGCTCATTTCTGGACTCAGAAAATGATGTTTTCTACCGGTGCAGGGAAAAAAAGGCTTTTTCCCTTTTGCTCTCGAGGCAGTTTGGGTAAAATACACGCGATGGCACGAGGTGAGGGGCAGAAGAAATGAGCCCTGGAGGGGAAGGGGGCTGCCAGCAGCACATGAGGGAGGTTTCTACCAACACCTGGGTATATTTTTGCCCCCGTGCCTGTTTTTGTGGTCCAGAGTGGACAACAGGATGTCAGCAGTGATTTATTTTTTTTGGCAGGGCTGGGTCGGTGCTCCCTTTTACACGTCCCCTGTGCTGGGGGCATGGCTGCAGGGTGTTCCTGGGGTTGGTGGAGCTGACCTCTCTCTGATGGTCTCTTTGTTCTCCTGGCCACCTTGTCTTAGTCACGGTCTCGGGGCTTCCTTTGAATCGGAGGTGGAGGATTACAACGCAGTGTCCTTCAGAAAGAGTCTTTTCAAGTCAAATCAGGATTTCCCAACCGGTGTGGTGGGGTTCCTGGCAGCTGAGCTCATCCTACAGCTTCTTGCTGCCAGGAGAGCATCCTCCCACCCCTGCCCCACGCCATGGTACCCACTTCTGGTGCTCCCTGCTCCCCTCCACCTGAAAACACACTTTTCCTCCCCAAAGGAAAAGGGGGCTGTGGGGTGGGTGGGAGGCGGCACCCTCAAAATCCACTTCGTTTTTTAATTTAATCCATTTTGGGGGGGTTTGGGGAAGGGCTGGCTGCGGTGGCGGGGAGAAGAGAGCTTTTTGTCTGGGTGTTTCCTGCTGCTGAATCACTCCAGAAAGAGCCCCTGGTCAGAGTGTGTGTGTGTGTGTGTGTCACGTTGCCCTGCGAGGCGGGGATGACGGATGGCTGTGGTATGTGACCATCTGAATCACTGCTGGGTGATGTCCTCAGGCTCTGCAGGACCTGGGGGCAGGGGAGGAGGGGGTTGGGTACCCCCCAACCTCACCAGATTTGGCCCACCCCCCCCAAAAAAAAAACGGGGGCATCCTCTGTGCAACATCTGGGAAAGGCCGTGCCCTCTGCCGACCTGTGTTCCTGGCAAGAGTAGAACAAATAATAATAAAAACTAACAAAAAACCTTCAAAACGCGTGGAAAAAGGATGTTTGTGCCCTCTCCCCACCCCGTGCAGGTGGAGTTTCCTCCCAGTTCCCGTTGTGCCTCTCCACAGGGGGAGGGATGCTCCAGCCCCCACCCAGCCCCACAGCATCTCTCTGCTGTGTGTGTCCCCCCTCCCCCGGGCAGGAGGAGGGTCCCCGAGGGGTGGTGGAGCTGGAGGTGCTGAAGGAGGCTTTGATACCCTCAGGGGTAGTCGTGGTTTTGGTATATTCAGGAGAAACCAACACTAAAGGTGGCTTACAAATAGAAATTAACTTGAAAATGGGTCTTAAGAACATCTTATACCGGGAGGGAGGGAGGGCAGGATGTGACTGTCCTGGCACCCCTTGCCCCAGCAGCACAGCACCTCTCTCCTGAACCTCATGAGTTCCTAAAAATCCCTTTTTTTCTGCACCAACCCCCTCATTTGGGTTCAAGCAATTTATTTTGTGGTTCGTATTTCAGTTCCAGCAAATCGATCCCAGGAAAAGCAGGGAATCCCACCCTGATGGAGCTGCTTTCCCAGCCAAGGAAGTCAATCCTTTTTTTCCCTGCTTGGGTAGGGCTCGCTGTGGTGGCCATCTCTGGTCTTCCCTTGGTCACCTTGGTCCCAGACATCCCAGATCTTCAGGATCACCTCAGGAGAGCCAGCAAAATGCTGAGCCTGTTAGGATGGAGCTACTGGGACATCACGACTGATGGTCCCTGTCCATCCTCACCATCCATAAGAACTTCCAGAGTTATTTTTCAGTCGTGCTGGGTGCCTGTATGGGTGTAATTAACTCAACCACCAGTCATTAACTCAACCACCCTGCAATGCCCGTTGCCTTCCATCTCATCATTCCCAAGTTTTAAGGGCTGATGACCTGAGAGCTTCCACAGTTCCCTTCGTAGTGAGTAGGTTTTCACTCGTGCCCTAGTGAACGCTGAGCAAAGTGACTCTCCCGAGGGCTTGTAAAGTACAGAAATGTTTTTTCCACCACATTCTGAATTTTTTTTCCCTCAGTTTCCACTCAGTTCGTGGTGGATAATCCCATCCCGCCGAGGAGGGCTCTGCTGACTGGGGCTGGTGCTGTGATGCTCTTCCCTCACCTCCTTTTCTTGCCGTGGAGGATTCTAAAAGCCAAAAGAGAGTTTCAAGAAAATTCATCAGTTGGTGCTGTGATGCTCTTCCCTCACCTCCTTCTCTTGCCAGGGAGGATTCTAAAAGCCGAAAGAGACTTTCAAGAAAATTCATCAGTGGATGGTTTGGGTTGGAAGGGACCTTAAAGATCATCCAGCCCAACCCCCTGCCCTGGGCAGGGACACCTCCCACCAGCCCAGGTTGCTCCAAGCCCCCTCCAACCTGCCCTTGAACCCCTCCAGGGATGGGGCAGCCACAGCTTCTCTGGGCAACCTGGGCCAGGCTCTCACCACCCTCACACCAAACAAGTTCTTCCCCACATCTCAGCTCCATCTCCCCTCTTGCAGTGTCAAACCCTTCCCCCTCCTCCCATGGCTCCCCTCCCTGATCCAGAGTCCCTCCCCATCTCTCCTGGAGCCCCTTGAGGGACTGGAAGGGGCTCCAAGGTCTCCCCAGAGCCTTCTCTTCTCCAGGATGAACCCCCCCAACCCTCTCACCCCCCGCTCAGCAGGACGAGTCAGTGGTCCTGCCGATTTTCCTCCCACCACACGGCATCGTTTCAGGTTGGAAACAATCTTTAAGATCATGGAGTCCACCCTGGGAGCGGGCTATGAACCCGCTGTCTTTGGCCACAAAGAGCAGGCGCGGGGTTTTCTTGGCTGGTGGTGGAACCTCAGCCAGAGGTGATGTTTGGCCACCGATGCTTTCGTGTCCCCTCCAGCCGCCGGGGGATGCCTGTGCTCCCTGAGGCCTGGTGACAGTGGGAGATGGCTCCCAGGGGACATCTCCCTTGGGATCATCCCCAAGTCCAGCTTGATGCCAGCTCTGCTGAGAACACCCCAACTTCTGGAGCCTCTACTCATGGAGATGTGATGGTTTCAGCTTCTCCTTCCCATTCCCAACAGCTGTTGGGGATGGATGCTCCGGCTGAGGGATCTAAGGAGGGATCCCAATAGGGATCCCCCAAAGTGTCTGTTAACAGGAGCCCGAGGGCAGGTCCCAGTAAGACCAGTCCATCAGAGAAGGGTGATGAAACCTGATCAATTCCCGACCCACCTGCTGTGGGACGGGGTCACCAAAGGCTTGGGATGAAGCAGAGTTGTGGGCCAACCCATTTATCCCAAGCTTGGAGAGGACCCAGGGATGCCCCAGGTGGATGTGATGTCCCCCAGGTGTCTGTCCTGCCTCCTCCCAAAACTTCCAGCCAAGGGATGGCACCACCTCCCCCGGTTCCCCCGTCTCATCCACCGACCACCCAGGTGTGGGGTTTTTTTTTCCTAATTTCTCCTGTTTTTTCCAAACAGCCCTTCACACACACAGGGCCCGTAATCTCATCCTCCTCCAGACTAAACAATCCCTCCTTCAGCCTTCCCTCACTCCCACCTTGTTTTCTTCTTTTTTTATCAGTCTCGCCGCTGCCTCCCGGATCCGTTCCGTATCGGCGTCTCTTTTTGGAGAGGAATGATCTCGCCACGCATCCCACCTGCAGGGCTGCCCTTAGAAGAGGACCTTATTTTCTCTCAGTGCTCTTAACACCTTCACGCACAAATTTCCCCTCACCATCTCATCCCATCCAAGACTGG